CTACCATTTATTATCTAATTATGTAAAAATGATTATCTGAATTTTAAGGGTAAAACAACTCACCTTAGCCGACATGTTGGAGCCGATGCTTGGGGTACAGCAGTAATGGGGCGGCTTATATAGGCTGGGCTAACAATAGAATTGAGAGAGAGAGAGAGAGAGAGAGAGGGAGAGAGAGAGAGAGAGAGTAATTGGGATAGTATTGTCTCTATCTCTTCTTCTTCTTTTTCTACCCCTTGTTTCACCTCGAAAGTTTTACTTGTCAAAGTGAAAGGGGCGCGCAACTTTTCTTTTCGTACCTTTTCTTATTGTTTCGAGTACGCGCGGCTACGCGGTTCCGATTAGATCCCATTGACAGGGCGCGCGGCGCGTTTGACCTTGCCCTCCTCCCTCCCCTCGGCAAGACAATAGATCCGGACAAAAAGCCGAGAGCACCCCCCGCAAATTGAGCACAACGGATGTTTCCGCCTGCGCGTTTCCGCAAGGCGCCAATGTACAGTTTTTGGTGGGGATATTGTTTTGAAGTGAAGCGAGAGAATTAAGAATTGAAGATATTGCTTTTCTGGTATAATTTGTTATGCAAAACCCAGAAATTAAAAAGATAAAAAAATGCTAAAATCTGGGTCCAACTTATTTACGGCAATATGGTGATGTGGTGGCACGAAGGCCTCAAATGTCCACTGAAAAAATGTTGCAAAAATGTTAAAATTTTGGAAAATGGCAAAGCTGGTAATAGTCGTAGGTGGGATCGTATAACTCAAAAAAATCGTGATTTGACGCTCCCATCTAATCAAACTTTTCGAAAATCCCAGATAAATTTGACAATGCAATTTTGAGATGGAAATGAAGGTAAATGAATGTTCAATTTATATGCGACTATCCCAAAGGTCTTGAATCCCGGTAAAAAAATGTTTCAAAAGGGTTTAAAAACCGATAAGAGTAAGATGTCATAGTAATTCTGGGGCTATGGTGTGAAAAATAAAAAGCTTGCTTTTTTTATCCATAAGTCGTTGATCCGAGTACTCCACTAATGTAACAAGTTGTGGTCAAGAAGTTAATGTTGCAAATGATACCACTTAAACCCGACAACGCCTCTTGTCTTAGAAAAAGGATTTCATCTGTTTTTAATCTAATCGCATCGAGTCATCAATTGATGCTCGTCGTAAAAAAGTCCACCGGGAAAATCGATGACTCAAACCTTTTGATAAAAAAACAATTTAATAAAATGTTGCAAATGTTTTCCAAAAGAGCTTAATTTTAAAAGCTGATTAATGGTGTAATGCGTTATAGACATGAATTATTTTTCGTCATGATCTCCATCTAACCCTCTCATCGAACTGCAAAAGTACCTTACCCCCTACAGGGCTGGGATGCTTAGTACTCAAAGTTACGAAGTCTCATCGCCTACTACGTACGAAGTCTGGTCCAGCCCTGGCAATTTTTTTGGAAAAAAACTGTTTCAACTGATTTCAAAAATCGCTAATTCAATTTGTAATTATTTTCATGTTTCATAGCTTAGTAATTTCTATCCATTGTTATATTTAAATTTTTATTAAAACCATTAATTTAATCGACGTGTGTTCTCCGTTCCATCCTTCACCGAACATCAAAAGTACCGTAACGCCTGTTGGTACTCGAGGTGATTGCGGTGCGCGTACCCACGGCAAACATATCACTTTTCCCGGCAACAGCAAAGGGAGGGGTCAGCCTGCCCTCCCCATTTCTGAAAAGAAACCAATAAAACGGGCATTCTGAGAGACCGAGGCCTAAAAAGGGCCCTTTTAGGTGGAAAGAGCCCAAAAGGCGGTCTGAAAGCGGCGTCCAAACAAATTATGGACACTGGGATCAGATGTTGGGGTCGGGCCAAGAAGTTGTAAAATGTTGTGTTTCGCCAGAGGCTAGCACTTCGGTGTGGTATATTCGCGTAGTTCGTCGCCGTCGTCGTCGCAGGCTTAGGCTTAGGCTTAGGCTTAGGCTTAGGCTTAGGCTTAGGCTTAGGCTTAGGCTTAGGCTTAGGCTTGGGCTTGGGCTTGGGCTTGGACTTAGGGTTCGATTTAAGCTTCGGCTTGGGCTTAGGCTTGGCTTAGGCTTGGGCTTAGGCTTAGGTTTCGACCTCAATTTTTATGTTTGCTTCTCGACGCTACTTACTCCGTTTCGTTGATTTGAGCTATTTTTGTCTATCCATTTTAATGCATTCAACTTTGCCCTATCACTGTCCATTGTAGCGTTTTTGAATAGCGCAATTTTTAGACAAAAATAGGCAAAAAATAGCATGAAGTGAATCAGGCAGTTTGGGTGCAGGGGCACCCAAAACCATTCCTAAAATTGGGGGTTCCAAAGACAGCTTTTGAGGTAATCTTGCATTGATGGCACAAATTTAAAAATTCTTCACGACATTTTTTTCTAAATCTCATCAACTTGTTATGAAATAGAGGCCATCAATAGTAAAACACTAAATAAACTCCCTCTTCATTCATCTAAAATTTATTTTTACAAAAAAATGTTTTAGACAAAATTAAAAAGACAAGATTTTAGAAATTGGGATTACGGTCTTTTTAAAAGTTGCCTAAAGTATACAAAATGTTTTTAACTTTAAATTTCTTTCGGTAAGATATCCCAAAAATTAACTGGACAAACATACCCAATCTTTCAAGCTCGTTTACACAAACCCCGTGTTTACCCGGGATACCTGGAGGATTTCGGCGTTGATCACTGGGGCTGTTACTCTGACCCGATGCACCCGCTTGTTGAAACTTACTGTAGCCAATGTATAAAATGGCCGCAGCTTTTTGGAAAGGGTCTCGGAATATCTATTTTGTTAAATAATATTTTAATTGCATTGGTTAACGGGCAAACGCAGCGATTCGTATGATTAGAGTATCCGTCCTGCGATCCGGTTCCAATTTCCTTGAAACACTCTTTTGGGATTCTATTAAAGACACCGCGCCCCGATTATCATCGAATTTCTTGAAACATTTTTATCTTCGACTTTCGCGAGTGCAAATTCGAAAACTATGTACAACATTTCGGGTTCCAAAACGACATTAAAAATTGGTTTGTTGCAGTACTTTGGGGGACGGTAGGACCTTTCGCTTCCCAGCCCCTTTAAAATCTAAAATCTCTGAAAATCGTACACAATCAGCTCCTAAACCAACCACACAAGCAATTTCCCATTCCCTTTAAACTTTTTTGAACCAACAATATCAACAAGTTCAGGAAGATTTAACATCACTTCCGCTACCTCGCAAATTATTCTGGAAGCGTGCTGGAAATATGATAAAAACCGCAAACTAAGATAATAAAAAGTAGGGTAGCCTTCAACCGTTTAATTTTGATTTTTTAAGCAAGTTTTAGCAATTAAAGTTTACGCTAAATTCAGACACGCTTAATTTTACACTACACGGTACTAGCTTAACTTTGATTTTTTCCAGGTCACGTTTTTGAAACATTTTTTCCATAAAGGTAAGCAAGTTCGACGTGGTTCCGCATCAGCTCCGCTGCTACCACCTAAGTAAAATAGTAATTTTTCTAAATTGGCTCAGTTTTTCTGGAACATTTTTGCTATCATATCCAGCACGTTTCAAAAAAAAATATACCAAAATCCAGAACTCAAAAAATCACTATGGCGGTATTTTGTCATTTTCGATTCGAAAACGGCGAAGGACTACTAAATTGCGCGTCCCGAATCCGTGTTGCCATTTTTTTGAAACATTTTTCCATCCGCGCAAGTTCAAGACAGTTCCGCATCACTTTCGGTTTTCAATTTCGAAAAGCCCTAAAATCGAAAAACAGAGCTGAACAGGATAATTCGAAATACGCTTCAGCAGAGAAATCACCAGAATTAGACAACGACGCAGAATTAATTAGATCGTCCCAGTTTCGCGTTGCAATTTTTTCGAAGAATTTTTGCCTCAAGTCCAGCATGTTCAATCAAGTTCAGCATCAGTTCCTCATTTCCAATTAACAAGGACGGCTATCGTATCTAAAAACAGAGCTGAAAAGGGTAGCTCGCCAAAGAAAGACGAACGAATTGCTACACCACATTTAACTTTTTGATTGTGAATTTTTCGAAACATTTTTCCAGCAAGTCCAGCAAGTTCAACGAAGTTCAGCATCAGTTCCGTTCCCTTCCAATGCACGTGGTCTGGGCAGGGTTACGGTAGCGAATATGAACCCCGTCTATGGCCCCGCCATTTACCCCGCCTCTAATGTTTACCCCGGAATTTGAAGGTCCAAAGTTTCGGTGATCGGTTAGAGATGGCGGCCCCAAAAATGGCCATTCATTTTCCAGGTTTCTTTTGCTCCTTTGAAGCTCATTTTTGCGGTCTATTTGCCATCCGAATCGCCCGACCATCGACACTGCAAAACGCGCATTTTGGCAACCACCACCCGGATCACTCACTCCGTCACTCTCTCTCGCTCTTTCTCGCCCTCTCTTGCTCTCTCGCTCTTTCTCTCTCGCTCTCTCTCTCTATCTCTCTCTCCCTCTCTCCCTCTCTCTCTTTCTCTCCCGCCCAGACACTTTATAACACGTGAAAAACAGGGCAGCCCGGGAATTTTGCGCGAAAAATTGAACCTCAGGGAGGTAGAGTAATTTTTAAAATGCTTGGCTAAATTAATTAAAATCGAAGAATTATGGTATACTATGAATTAATTTAATGACCGCAGCAGTTTTTCTTTTATATTTTATTAACTTTGTTTTCTCCTTTTTTAATAAACTTTCCGAGCTTTGAAAACGAACAAATGGCTCGACAAGAATCCAGCCTCGTAATTTTGCCGAAACATTTTTTTCAACGACAATCTATCTTTTTGAGCACTTTTCTAAAAACACTTTCTGCTGCCCGAGTTCTGGGAGGATTGCTGGTCTCCGAAGCCAAAATCCGTAATGTTTATATATCCAAAAATACCGTAGTTCTTATCTCAGGGTTTTGTATAATCTTTATTTTATTTATCAATGCGAGAGCCAATTACCACTCGTTAATAATATTTATGATTTTTAGATGAGCGCCATTACATTGCCCGACTTGCCAAAGGTCAAGCCGCTCGGTTCGCGATTTCGATTCTTTCTGTTAATTTTGATATTCTTGTGCTTGACGGCAATTTGGTGAGTATTAAAATTACATGGCTACTTTATAAACGTTTAAACTATATAAAAAATTAGGTCTTAAAAAATTAAATTCGAAAATTTAAGGGCCAACGTGTTGACGTACAACATTGCGATCGTGTGCATGTCCTCGAATACGACTCACCACGCCGACCCGAATCATCGAATTTTTACGAATGGTGAGGAGTCTCTGTTAATCTGCCCTATTCTCTTCCTCAACAATCTCTGCTAGCCTGCCCTCTCCTCTTCCTCAACAATCTCTGCTAGCCTGCCCTCTCCTCTTCCTCAACAATCTCTGCTAGCCTGCCCTCTCCTCTTCCTCAACAATCTCTGCTAGCCTGCCCTCTCCTCTTCCTCAACAATCTCTGCTAGCCTGCCCTCCCCTCTTCCTCAACAATCTCTGCTAGCCTGCCCTCTCCTCTTCCTCAACAATCTCTGCTAAATGGCGCTTATTTGTCAAAATATTCCGTTTCAGGCCAAAAGACGCTTGCCGTGGTTTTCGTGTCAATTGGAACAATCGTAGCTACGGGCCCAGTCATCTACCTCGTCAATCGCTACGGGACCCGAACGATCCTGGCAGTACTTGGCGTACTGTCATCTGTCTGCACCTTCCTACTACCACTAACCATTAAGGTGTGTATTTTCCGGTTCAATTTTCTTAAATAAGGCTTTCGATTTTTTTGGCTGTTGAAAGAAGTGATCCACGCACCATTAAACGAACGCCTTTCCATAGGCGGGCCTATTGTTCTTGGAGCATGCTATTTTGATTTGGTTTTTTTGAAGGGGTAGTCTTCCAATTTAATTTGCCCAAAATTCGGGTTTTAGGAAACATATAGCCTCTTAAGTAATTTATCTTCGGTAAGTTGCCAAAACGGGTCTTTCAGAATAAAAGTGTTGAGACAAATGTTTCATCAAAAATCAAGGGCCTGTTAAAATTATTGCGTTTAATAAATTGCTGATATATAAGGTATCCCTCTACCTCTAATCTGATTTTTTTTGTGAATCACGGCATTTTGAGGTTATATTTTTCTATCGACTATAGTTTTTATATGAATTAAGATTTGAAACGTTTAGATTTAGAAAGTCTGTTTTTTTTGAAACGGGCTAACCCAATCAAAATCTTGTGGGCTAATTAAGTGTCGGATCGACATTTGAAAATTGATGTTTTACGAATCATGCATAATCGGCGAAAAATTTGCATGGTTAATCGTTTGACTTTGCCGAGTTTCACTAAATAATGTTTTACAATAATCTTTCTTCCGATCGAGATTTATGCACGTCAATGCACGTCAATGTTTCACTTTCAACAGTCATGAAGCGACCAAAAATTCGGGCCAAGTGCTGGTCTCAGAAAATGTTTCATACAAACTTAACAGTTACGTAAAATTTTCTTAGATATTTGTGGAAGTTCGATATTTATATTACTTTTTAATGCAATTTTTTACCTCCTATTTTCCAGCACTCAATCGCGGCCTTCTACGTGCTGCGCTTCATCCAGGGGATTGCGCTCGCATGTAACATGCCGGTCGTTGGGTACTTTACGGAACGGTGGACTTATTATAAACAGGTATGATTTAATTTATTGGATTTTTAATTAAATCAAATCAAGGCAAAATTTAGTAATTAATAGATTATATATAAATAACAATAAAACCCAATTTAGCTGACAATTTATTTGATGTCCTTCTGCTATAAAATACTGTTTTACTGTTTTATTTGCTCATTGAAAAAAACAATGAAACATAGTTTTCAGAAAGGCCTCACGGTCTCCGTGCTCGTCACCTACCTCCAACTCGCTCCCGCCTTCACGAACCCCGTTTCCGGTGCCCTGTGTGGAGCTTCTGGGTAACTTTTAAATTTTCGATTCGTTGCTTGAATCATTTATAGTTTATGGCAAAGCTAAAACACAAATTATCATGCCAATTCCTGTCCTTTGTTAAAAATATGTTGTATCGATGAGCAACTTTGCATTTTTTGAAACAGCTGTATTCCTGGAAGGGTTTTTGATCTCTAATGTCATTCTCGAAGTTGACAAAATCTTATCAAATAAACACTTTGTTGTCACTTTACTTCCCCAAATCCTACTGTATAACTTTTAAGTCGAGGTTTTTGTAAGTTCTAGGGCCCAGAAAATACATCCAAAACTTTTTAGGGTTTAAATAAATATGTTTCGGGAAAGGTTCAGTTCCAAAAAAAATTAGATGGGGTAATTGGCCTGAACCGAATTTTCTAAAAATCATTTGTATTTAAGAAACTAATCAAAAATGTATTAAAAACACTAATTACGATAACGTTTTCAGATGGGAAAGCATCTTCTACTTCCACGGCGGCCTCTCGCTTGGGCTATTTACGCTCTACAGTAAGCCATTTTCAGCCAATAAATATTGATAGGTTTGCTTCGTGGACCTTACTAAAAAAATTTAAAAATTTCTTAAAAGCTTCTTTTCAAACATACTTTCGCAGAATAGCGGGGTCCTGATAATTCTTTTTTTCAGTAACATAAACTGTCAATATTACAGTAAACGTCTTACGGCTGCAAATTTTAGTTAAACAATGACTTTACGCCCAATAGAAAATGCAGAAAAGTTTAGTTTCTAGGTGGCCGCGACTGTGCTGACATTAAGCCTCCCACCTCACCCTCAATTTGGGAAATTTTTGAAACACATTTTCGTTCAAAACTGGTGATTTCCAATATTTTTGCTTACTTTTGCTTATTCCGTAAATTGCCACTCTTACAGTAATCTTCTTCCGGAACAACCCGGAAAAGCATCCGTTCGTCGGCCGGACCGAATCCGGAAAAATAGCACGCGGGAAGCCGCCCGGACCGTGGGTTTTTGAGGTTATCATGGACACTGCGAAACTCAAAAAAGCCATGTTTCAACTAGGCCTAATCACCACTTTTCAAAAGATCAGCTAGTTTTTTTTAAATTTGTTTTTCTTCACCGTTAAAGGCAATAGAAACGAGCATTTAATTTAATTATAATTAAATTATTAAGTTTTGTAAATTTTGTAATTAAAAAGGCATAATATAATTTATACAGTTTTTATGGAATTTCAGAAAACCACCCGTCCCGTATTTGGCAATCGTGAAAACCATGTCGATTTGGGCTGTCTGGGTGACCGGAATCGGGAATTTCATCGTGCTGGAGATGCTGTTCCTCTACACGCCCACCTATCTGAGCAAAGGTATCGTCAAATAATTATAATTGTCTTCAAAACTTTATTTAAAAATTTAGGAAAAGGTATCAAAAAAGTCACAAAATTCGTATTTAAAAATCGTGATTTTGGAAATTTATGTTTCACAAACATTTGTTGTTACGTATCCTTTAATAGAATGCAATTTCAATGGCGCCATCAATCGATTTGGAGCAATAATTGTTTGAAAATGATGTTTCAGCGATAGTTATTGCTACGCATTTTGGAATCTAGGCAATTTTGGACCAATTCCCGCCATCTATAGTTAGATTTTATTTTAATTTGATCCAGAAAGTTCGTCTCGAGAAGATACTTCCATAATTAGAGTTTTAAGCCGATCTTTCAGCTAATTTTATAATCTTTTCAACGCTAAAATTAATCCCTAATTCGAAAATTTTTTTGTGAAAATTTTTTTTTTTGATTCCAAGCTTATGATGCGATTTTTCCGACTTATCGATTTCGGTTTCGATTTTTCGACGAATTCGCTTTAGCAAGATTTTGAAAGATTTAATTTGATGTGCTATTTATTAATAACACATGAAAATGTTAGGAGATACCTCTATTATTTGTAATTTAATTATTACGTTTAACCAATTCGATTTCAAATTGATGGATGGCTCACCAAAACTTATCGTAACGTTTCCCCCGCTGTACTTAATAGGTGCAATCGCCTGAGAACTCGTCGATTACCTAATAAGTGAGGTAAAATTAAAAATAATGAATTAAACACAATTAATTAAACATCTAATTCTTCTTTATTATTTTGATTTATGCATCCAACTATTTTTCGCATTCCAGTTCTCGGGTTCGGCGTGTCGAGCACGGGGATCACGTCCGCCATCGTCCCCATCGCCCAGGGCACCGTTAAGGTGATTGCAGGTCGGGAATAGCTTATTTTAATCTAATAATATTTTAATTATTGATTCAGATGGCTCTAAAACTTACAAAAACAATAAAAAACATCAATAAAAAATCTGAAACACGGTTCTTCAAAAAAATTATGTTTCGTCGACAATCGACATTTCAAGTTGTGGGTGCTGATTAATAACTGCTCAAATGTTGATGAGAAGCCAAATTGTTTGTAAAAAACTTTAGAAAATAGAGCTCTCCGGCCAGCCCCCATGTTTTTTTCCAAAAATGAGTTGTGATAAACACTGGCTACCCTCGCCATCGAAAATCATGAATTGACGTATTTTATTGAATTCCAAAAACCACCAAACGCAGTGCAAAAATACATTAATAAGATTAAAGTGGCAGCAGGCGGCCGCGCATTAAAAAAGCGAAACGAAAATTCGAGGATCTTAGAAAAAAGGCAAGCTTTATGCCAAAAATTTTGTTTCGAAATTTGTTACTAATGGCAGGTGCTGATTTCTCCATACAAACAATTTGCGCAGCATCGAAAACTCAGCATTTTCTAGGGGGATGAGTGTAGACGGGAAATGGGATAGTGAGCATGCGAGTGCGAGAGATAAGGAGCGTGTTAAACTAACAAAAGAGCGAGAGAGAGAAAGAGAGAAAGAGAGAAAGAGAGAGAGAGAGAGAGAGAGAGAGAGGGGGGGAGAGCGAGAGAGAGAAACAGGGAGGAAAACAATTAAATTTTCCAGGCACGGTATCCGATAAAATCCACATCCCGGAAGGCATCAAAGTTCGTATCTTCAACACGGTCGGCTTCACCGGCGCCTTCATCGTGCTGTTGGTCATCTCCTTCTCCGGCATCAGAAATGGGGTGGGCCAAGATACATCATCGCGGGAATTAATACTGCAAAGTGCTGTTCAAGACAGGAAATTGCGAAACACATTTCCAACTTTTTTGGAATTCGCAGGTTGCGATTTTGGTGATTTTCTCAAGGGCTTTTGGCCACAATTTGAAATTGAAGTTAGGGCTAGGTTTTTAGTTGAATTTTGCATAACAATTTACTTTTGCTAAGTTTGACGCCGACGGAAGCCGCATTAAACTCAACGACAATATTAACTTTTTAGGAGTTATCGAAACATGTTTTCGGAGAAATTACTTTTCCAAAATATAAAATTACATATTTTGAATTCTATGATTTCTGTAACGCAGATTTTCAGACAGTCTGCCTGGTGCTGCTCGGCGTCACCGGGGCGTTCATCGGGCTGAATACGGGCGGGTTCTTCCGCGCTTCACCCGTCCTCTCCAAGCAGTACACGTCGGTTTATTTAAAAAACGTGTTTAAATAAATTTGTTAAAAAGCTTAAAACCTTTTTTGTAAATTTGTTAATTTCAACCAGATTAAATTCTAAAGCTCCGGGAATGAATTATATAATATAACATATAATATACAATAAAAAAGAATATAATAAAGTATTAAAATACTTTAAAAAGTTTATATTTAGGTCATTCGTGACGGGAATGATCTCGGTCTGCTTCTCAATCGCCATGCTAATTCTGCCGTTTTTCGTCGACGGCGTCACGGAGAACAACACGAGGGGCGAATGGGAGATTGTTTTTGTTGGCACTGGCGCCGTTATGGCAAGTATTTAATAATTTTGTGTGTTTCATTAATATAATATTTTTAATACCAATTAGCACAATTTTTATAAACAATTAAAGAAAAGTTTACAATTTAATCATTGTAAAAATTAAAAATGGTAAAAAGTAACTAACAAACAATTAGCGACTATTTGACATTTTGGAAGCTGTTCGTTTTAAATAGTGGAAGAGTGGAAAAATTAATTAAAATATTTAATATGGCTATCTAAATTTAAATCTATTGAGTTTAATCTAAAATTTATATTCAAGAAATTAAACAATTTTCCTAAAAATAAGAAATTGGTGCTCTTGAAGAGGGACTGAGCCCTCCGAAATTTTTTGAATATATCACATTAGGTGAAACACAGTAGTTAGATAAGGGAAAACCCAAATTTATTGAAGTTTTCGGAAATCTATTATAATTAAACTAAGTCTCAGATACACGTTTTTATTTGTTAAGATGGTAAACTCTATTAAAAGATAATGATATATAAAATATATAAAAATCCAACTTTCAGTTCATCTCCAACATCTTTTTCGTGATATTCGTCCGGGGCGAGCCGTGCTGGTGGACTGAGGTCGGTGAAATATCGATTTTTAACTAGCTACATTACTTAAATTGAATTTTGAAAAATTTCAGTAAATCGTACATTCGAAAATCACATTATTTTGGTTTTTTTCATTAAAAAAACTCAAACTTAAAATACATTTTCTAAGCTAAAAAATCGACTTCTAGACGTCAGCCACCGATCGAGTGGCCCCAGCGTTTGGTGACGCGGAGAAAACACCGGAGAAGCCGACGGCGACGCATTAATGATACTTATTGTCTCGCGGATTTTGCATACATTTATTTGTCTGTGTAGAGAATAAAAGTTCCTATC